TAAACCTCCCCTGGTTTAGTTTAAAGCCATTACCCCTTGTCCTGTCACAGCTGGCCCTACTATGAAGGCCACTTGATCTCCGGGTTGGGCGCAGGAGGGAAGTATCCTGGGGGAGCCCACAAGTCCCAGGGAAAGCCAGACAACTGAAATAAATCTGCTTGGAGGAATTGCACCCAGCCTGGTGTGGTGTCGATACGGATAGTCCCAGAACTTTCTGTCACCCCAGTTTTGGCTTTATGGGAGAGTTTTGGGCACTCTGGGGTGTCCCCTTCCAACAGCAATTGTAGCACCGGGCAAGAAACTGGGTGCACCAACTGTTCTCCTTCTGGCTCAGTGGCGTTAATGCCCGATGAAGTAGGCAATGGTACGAGACAGTAAAGTGCACGGCCAAACGCCGGCAAACGACCCGAGGTGGATCAGCAGGGTTCCCTTGCCCGAGCATCAGCCTGGCAACTGCGCTGCCGGAGCCGAAAGCCATGGACACAGCAGCGGGCAGGCCCGTGGGACAAGGCAGAGCAGGGCTCCTTCAGCACAAACCTCCCTGGAGAGGAGTCAGCCCAGCAGAGCCACTTGCAGCCTTTTTTACTTGATTTAGGAGATGTCTCCTAGTAATTACCCTGTCTTGGCCCTGCCGTTTTTCTGAAGCGGCATTTCAGACCAGCTTCACGCCGAGAATAGCCGCTTTCCCAGCCTACCGCCGGCACCGCAGCCCTTCTCGGGAGAAGGAACAGATTGTTCTGAACAGTCTGGTCCATTTGCCATTTCTCCGAGCTGGCTGGATTTGCTGTTTATTTCCACTCACTCAGCAACTGATCTTTTGCAAGATCGCAGCTATCGGTTGCCTACCCTCCCGTCTGCCGTTGCCTCATGCCCCTCACCGCAGGTCCAAGGCTTTACGAGGGACATAGGCCGATTTTTGTAACAGGCGCTTGTTACTCAAGAGTTGATTTAAATTAAAGCTTTAAAAAAGAAAATCCCAAGGGTTCAGGCTGCATATTTCTCTTAGTGTAAATCTGAAGCGAATCCCAAGGAAACACAGAGCTGACACTCATCAAAGTCGGGTTATAATGAGTCTTCCTGGGGTGTTTTGCTCGGTGCATTAGCACACATTTGGGGGATTAGTTCAGAAGGAAACTGCACAGCTCAGAGATGGGTTGGTTGGAAGAGAGCGCCTCTTCCTAACCCTGCTGCTGCTGGCAAGTTGCCATGGGTCAGGCATGCAGGGGTGGTCACCCCCGCTGGCCAGGAGCATCCTGGCCCACCTTTCCCAGTGGCACCTCCTGGGCAGGCGGAGGCAGGGGGGCATGGTCAGGGAGTGCTGGGCTGGCTGGGGCAGAGGGGTGCAGGGATGCAGGGATGCAGGGATGCAGGGATGCAGCCATCCCCTGCCTGCTCGCTGCTCTGCTCGGAGGGAGGAGAGGAGCAGGAGGCGGCAGAGCTGCGCCAGTTGCTTGGCAACTCCCCTGCAAATCTCCATCCTGTCAGAAAACATTTTTTTCCAGCGATTCCAATGGGTTTCACAGGCACAGGATCAGGCCTGGCTGATCAGGTGATTTTAAGAAACCACACACGGTACCTGGAGGGGCTTGTGCATCCACTTTGGCCGGGTCGTGGCCATGCAGCCAGGCACGGGCCACAAAACACGGCTCCTGACGGGCACCACACAGCAGGGAGGGCTGCAAGGGGTGTGATGAGGCTTCCCAGGGCTCCTACATCCCTGTTTCAGCCTCTGCTCAGGGACCACAATGCTCAGCATCGTCTGCATCCTAGCAGAAGACAGAGGATGCAGCGCTCTGCCCCTGTCCTGTCTGCAGGCAACCCATGAACGGGGCATGAGCCACCTCCAGGGGGGACATGAGCCACCAGTGTGATCCCCAGCGAGCTGCTCCCTGGTCCCACTGGCCCAGGCCCTCCATTAGC